TATAAAGAAAAAAAATCACAATTTCTATTGTATGCAGTTACTATTGATTACATGGACCTCCTTTGTCCAAAAGGGGCTGCCTTCTCTGCAGTTCTTCATTGGACTAGCGAGTTGATGTCTGACCTAGTGGGCCAACTTTTGAGTCATATTTCGATAATTCAAACTATTCACATCTTAATATTAGTCGAGTATATCATCTTTACAAAAAATAAGTCGATCGGATAATTACAACCACGTGTTCGTTTTAATTTTGTATTAAAAGAATGTACATTGAAAAAATAAATAATTCATACAAAATTGATCCAAATACGTGTTTTTCGTTATCCGATCGACTTGATTTTTTATAGGAATAATGTGCTCAAGAAATTCTAAAATGTGAACGATTCAAATTAGCAAAACAATGTCCAAAAATTGACCCAACAAGTCAGATTAAACTGTGCAGTCTGATGAAGGATTGGAGACAGTACGGTCCCTACCCAAAATTCACATATTGCTAAGCATGTTATAAATTGACTTGAAAGAGATTTCGCCCAATGATTTATTTTAAATTCCTGGACTCTATAGCAATAGTAATAACTTAGATCTCACCTGGAAACAGATTATTTTAGTAATTTTTTTATATAAAAAATATGCAAAAAAATAAAAAAAAATATGCAACAACTTATATTGACTTTTTGACTAAAATTAAAAGTTGCCAAACAAAATCTTAATGTCCAAGATGCCTCCCCACTACACCTTTTTTCTGGGCCAACCACAACTCAGGAGTGTTTTAAGAAGATAGTTAAAAGTTGACTTTTTAAACTTTGTTTCACTGTTTTATGTGAGAGGTAATCTGACTAAAAATAAATTAAGAACTGACTCTTAACTTTTTTAGCATGTTGCCAAAAAAACCCTCCCATCCTACAACCATAATCCCCTGCTCCAGCCGGCCACCATGTAGCATAACAGAACCCATGACGCCTCCGTTTGGCAAATTGGTTTATAGGCTTTTTTGGCTATTTTAGCCACAAAAGACAAAATAGGCTATTTTAGTTACAACAAACAAAACATCACATCCAACCCATAATCATTACACTATTCTCTCACAAAAAAAGTCAAAAAAACTAAAAAACTTTTTCCAAACTAAGTTTTTTAACCCAGGCTAAAATAACTAAAAAGGCCAACCCACTTCGAAGTATAATCTCATATCTAGTTCTCTCTCTCTCTCTCTCTCTCACACACACACACACACAAAAGAGTATATTCTCATATCTTAAAAAAATAAATAATTTAAATTATCATAATTAATTCCAAAGTAAATCCACCAAGTTTGAGGGAAGCAATCTCCATAAAGTTTACGGAAATTACAACTCAGCCCATATTTTCAAAATAATTTTAAATCAATAATAAAATTTATTAATTTTAATAATTATAATTATAAATTTTTCTATCACTTTGTAATTTTGTTTTATTCCATGTGATTCACAATTTCCCCTAAAGTTTTATGGGTAGCTGTAGTTTTCCCTTTCGCTGTTTGTTGTGTGAGTGAAAAGATAAAGAACAGTATCTCTTGACAGAGAATTGCAAATTTCCAGAAAAAGACAAATACTGGAATTTCTAACTTTCCAACTGAAAATTTCATCTCATCTCATATGAAACCCCCAATTACAATCCTTCTGCAAATAGTCTTACAACACAAGGGCAATTTTGTAAACTCATTTCAACCACATACCACATTTGAGAACCTAAAGTTTTTAGTAAAAAAAATTAAAAAGTTAATAAAAAAAATTAATTTATTCCTTTTATTTTATTACATATGTTATCATAAAAAAATATATATAAAAAAAAAAAGTTAATTCCCACAAGAAGCTTAATTACCCAATAAATCATTTCATTATCCAACCCATAATGGGGGTGTTTGTTTCAGCTTTTCAGAGCCAACTTATGACTTTTAGCTTTGAAAAAATTATTTTGGACTGTTTGGTTAAACTTATTTCAAACAGCTTCTGATTCTAACAGCTTATTTTAACTCAAAAAAGTTGATTCTGAGAAGCTGCTCACCCCTTGCTTCTGATTATCAGCTTCTGCTGTGGACATGTTAATTTATGGTTATACTCTTAATTTTTTTTTTAAAAAAAATAGAAAAAGACTCAAATGGACTATAGATTATTATTATTTTTTTTTATGAGAAATGTAGACAAACAAAAAATAAAAATTAATTGAAAAAGCTATTTCACAGCTTATTAACAAACATTACTCAACAACTTAAATCTATAATCCAACAGCTACACCAAACAGATTAACAACTTCTGATTAAAGTCATAATCTATAATCTGTTAAGCTATAATCTATAAGCTGTTTTAACAGCTACACCAAACGGGGCCAAGTCATAATGTATAATCTGTTAAGTTATAATCTATAAGCTGTTTTAACAGCTACACCAAACGGGGCCAATGACCTGTTAAGACCAAAAACTAATGAGCGATGGAGGAATAGATGAACCAAGCTTTATGCGCAAGAGTTGGTTTAGAAATCAAATTTTTTAATAATTTTTTTTATTAGAATATGTGGTGAAAAATGTTTTTGAGATTAAGGCCTATTTTAGAAATATAGAAAATAATCAAAATTTTTTTAATATTTCTTTCTTTACTTTTTGGCTTATTCACATAATCATTTTGAACGATCAAAATAAGCAACATTTTTTTCAAAAAATTATTTTAATATGGTGTCACTTGTAAAATTATAAATTAACTATATTACTCTCATGCAATTTTATTTTATTTTGGAGGGTATTCTGATAATTTCGCTTGTTAGTTTATTTTTAATTTTTCAAATGCTTTTTGGCTCAAATAAACTGACTTTCGGTTTCTTCAGAAGCTAAAAACAAGCTTTTTCATTTCTTCTCAAAATAAGCCTATTTTTTTAATATTTTAAACAAAGACGTGTAAAAAGTTTAAAAAAAAAAAAAAAGACAAAATGAGAATAGATATTTATTTATTTTTATTTTTCATTAGCTTAGCCACTTATGGAAAGTTTGAATTTGACAACAACTAATCCATTTTTCACTTCATTTTTCTTTGGTCCATTGTATCCAAAAAAAAAAAGGAGAAAAAATAAAAAAGAAAAAGAAAATTGCATATGCTTTGTTTGGTGCAATTTATGGATTGCTTACAATTGTGCAACCCTTTAAGGTTGCACACCATATGCAACCAACACAAAAAGTGTAAGTGGAAAATGTAAACATAAAACATGACAGCAAACAGACAGGCGTAAGTGTAAGGTGTAAGTTGCACACTTAAGAAAAGTCTGAATATTTATTACATTTTACTTACCACTTATGAACAGGTGTTCCCTGAAGCCTTGTCACATTAACCCAAATTACAATCGTCATTGGTTTCGGTACATTATTGTCGCTTTCTCTCCATGTTAATCAAAGAATCAACATAGCCTGTGTTTGGCAAGGGCTTTTTCAGGCTTTTTTGGCTATTTTAGCCACAAAAAACAAAATAGGCTATTTTAGCCATAACAAACAAAACATCACATCCAACCTATAATCATTACATTATTCTCTCACAAAAAAAGTCAAAAAAGTCAAAAAGCCCTTCCCAAACCAAGCTTTTTAGCCCAGGCTAAAATAGCAAAAAAAGCCAAAAAGTCAAAAAGCCAACCCACTTCCCAAACGGAGGCATAATATTATCATTGAGCCCCGATTTGACATTCATATTGGGACTAAATAATCACAAAAAAATAATTGACTACAAAAATTAATAAGACAAAATATTACTTTTTACTCATAATCATTATAGTTTTTCTTTTACAAAAGTAAAAAAAAACCCAAAACAAAAATCAAATAAGGCTAAAAAAGATAGACTAAAAAAGTATTAACATAAAAAGTTGGTTATATTAGCCAATGTCAAACGCGCTCTCAAGTTCACACATTTAAGCCTCTTTTGGAGAATAAAAATAAGTTACTTCTTGATTTATTGACTTATTTCTATCACATAAACTCGGTACTTTTTTGTACCTATTTTTGTATTAAGTAAAAAAAATAACTTATAAATCATACCTAAAAAATCTCTAAATATAACTCAGTGATTGCTATTTTTTTTAGAATTAAAAATAAACTAATTATTAAATAGTTAAAGAAAATATATTTTAACTTATATTGTTTTAATTAACAATGTCTAAATTTTTTTTAAAAAAAAAAAAAAACTAAACCAAACATAATCATATGCACACACATTCAAAATATTTATTATATATTTATGTATTATTCAAGTGATAAGAATTTAATTCTCACTCATAATAAACACCAGTGGTGATACAGACCATTAATTTAGGAACATTAATGCCAGCTCTAATGAGTTGACAGTGCAAGAAAAAAAATAAAAATAAAGACCAAACTATCACATCAAGATGAGATTGATAACAATGCCACATCATTAGTGCAGCTTTAGAGCTGCTATTTTAGTGGTCCCAAATATTATTTTAATAAACACTCACTACTTAAATAATGCATAATATATAATTAATATTTGGGCAAATTACATATACTTCCCTTGAGATTTGACTAAATTACAAATATTTTTTTGAGGTTTTAGAAATTACATCTCGTCCCCTGAGGTTTGTATTTTCATAACAATTTGCCCCCTGTGATTTATATTTCATAACAAATTACCCCCTAATTTGTTTTGCAAATATAGCATTAAGGGAGAAATTTATAATTTCTCAAACTTCAAGAGAGTATTTATAATTTAGTTAAACTTCAAGGGATATATGTAATTTACCCTCAATATTTTATTTTATTTTTTTATCTATTTAAATTGCATCACCACTAATAATATATAATATATATAATTTAATATTAATATAAAAATAAAAATGAAACTTTCTTTCTTTTTCAAAACCACTTTTCTCTCAACTGCCACCCGCGTTTTCTATCACTCTTTGCCCTGCAATGTACGCCTCCTCTTCCACCACCACCGCCGCCGCCAGCGGCTGAGCAACTCACTGAGACACTCATGGGTAACTGCAACACCTGCGTTCGACCCAACACCACCGAAGACCACCACCACCAAAAGACCCACAAACCCAAGAAATCTCGAAACCACACAAAACCCAACCCATACTCCACCGATTCACCAGCCCCAATCCGAGTCCTCAAAGACTTCATCCCCCTAAACCACCGTACCCGAATCGTCGATAAGTACATACTGGGTCGCGAACTGGGTCGAGGCGAATTTGGAGTCACATACCTCTGTACCGATCGAGAAACCAGAGAAGCCTTAGCTTGCAAATCCATATCGAAGAAGAAGCTGAGAACAGCCATAGACATCGAGGATGTTCGGAGAGAGGTTCAGATTATGTCGAGCTTGCCTGATTTCCCCAATATTGTGAGGCTGAGAGCAACCTATGAGGACAACGAGGCTGTGCATTTGGTGATGGAGCTGTGTGAAGGTGGAGAGCTTTTCGATCGGATTGTTGCGAGAGGGCATTACAGTGAGAGAGCTGCGGCTGGGGTTGCGAGGACGATTGCGGAGGTTGTGAGGATGTGTCATGAGAATGGTGTGATGCATAGGGATTTGAAGCCTGAGAACTTCTTGTTTGCGAATAAGAAAGAACATTCGCCTCTTAAGGCGATTGATTTTGGGCTCTCTGTGTTCTTCAAGCCTGGTATGGTGCTGGATTTTTATTTTTTTTTTATATGGGTTTTTAAGATTTTTTTTGGTGGAAGATGGATTAAATTGTTCATATATTTTTATTTTCATTTTTTCCCCCCATGTCGGTCACAAGTCTTTTCATGGGTTTTGGTTGATTGTTTGAATTTTGATTTTGTTGTGTGGTTGTTGATGGTTCCTTTCAATTTATATTTTTATTTATTTTTTTATTTTTTCTGTAAATGGTTATTTTGAGATTTTTACTGGGTTTTCTTTTCTTTTTTTGGCTGTTATTTTTTGGGGGAAAATGGTTAATTGTTTGGTTTAAATTGTACAAATTTTGATTTTTCCCCATATGGGTCACCACTCACAAGTCTTTTCATGGGTTTTAGTTGATTGTTTGATTGGGTTTTGAAATTTTTTATTGAATCTTCAAAATTTGGAAATCTACCCAGATATATGTATGAGATTGTTTATGGGTTTTAGTTTATTTTTTGATTGAACTGTTCAGTTTGAATTTCTGATTTGAGATTGTTATGGGTTTGGATGATTACATGATCATTTTCTGTAACTTCTTCACCCTTCTCATTCAGGGGAGAGGTTTTCAGAGATAGTTGGTAGTCCATACTACATGGCGCCAGAGGTTCTGAAGCGGAATTATGGACCAGAGGTTGATATATGGAGTGCCGGTGTGATTCTCTACATTTTGTTATGTGGGGTTCCTCCATTTTGGGCAGGTATTGCTAGTTCTTCATGTGAAGTATTGCAGAATTCATATAAACATGGTTTTGGTGTCTAACTGTGAGATGAATTGGATTATTATTTGTTTTGCTTTTAATTGTATTTTGCAGAAACTGAACAGGGTGTTGCTCTGGCAATTCTGCGGGGCGTGATTGATTTCAAGAGGGAACCATGGCCTCAGATTTCTGATAGTGCCAAGAGCCTTGTTCGGCAGATGTTAGAGCAAGATCCCAGAAAGCGTCTGACCGCTCAGCAGGTGCTTGGTAAGCCTTTTTTTTTTATCCGCTGCATGCCGAGTTTTCAGTTTGTGTTCTAGTCCTATGTTCACATTCCGGTACTTGGAGTGGGGACAGGAACGTAGTCAGCTACATGTTCTGAAATGTGGTACGATGAAAGTACACATATATATTATACTTAAGAATTTAAGGTATTTTTAGAGTAATTTTCTTTCAACTATTAGGTATTTATTTATTTTTATTTTTTTTTCATGTAGCAAATCATTTATATGAAAATTATGACTCTTTTTTTTTTTTTTTTAAATTTTAATGTTTTTATCTTGTCAAAACTTAACTCATCTTAGATTTTAGTTTATATATTTGATTTTTTTTCTCTTAAGGTAACATTTAAAGAAGTATATTGGAAAAAACTTTTCGGATCGCATCGGTTCACTAAATTTACCATTTTGTAACGAAAGTGAATCATGTTTCGAAATGTGCATACCAATACGTAAATTGCTAGGGTATTAGCGTTTTCTAATAACATAGTTCTAGTTATTTTTCGATTGCATTGTTGCCTCCTGTAGTTTCTATTTATTTATAATGGGTAATAATACATCATGGGAGGAGTTGATACAGCTTGTTCTTCTTCTTCTTCTTCTTCTTCTTCTTCTTTTTTCTGTTATTTATTTTCATTTTGAAGGAATGATGTGTTGAGGAAGGAAATCAGGGACCAGAGTCTTGTTGACTTCAAATTTTGATTAGTCTTATTGATGCAAGAAGATTCAATTTTAAGTTAGAAAATCATAAAATATTAAAACTTTTGGGTTTTAAAATTGCTAAAATTCAAAAGTCTAGAGGAGGGATTCATGAAGTTTTAAAAATATTTTAATTAATGTTTTTTACTTTTTAGATGCACTTAATCTAAATACACTAAAAAAAAATAATGAAAAAATCTTTTAAAAATTCACTAAATGCTAACAAATACAAAAAAATTACAGAAATTCAGTACATTTTTTATTTATTTATTGAATTTTTGACAGATTTCTTCACAATTTTTTTTACTTTTTTAAGTACATCTAGATTCTAAAAAAAAAAAATGGCCAAAATATATAAAAAAAAAACACTAAAAAAAAAATGCAGGTTTAAAACTCAAAAACTGTTTTTGAAAACTCCTTAGAAACTTTTCCATTCCTCTCACGGGGTATGATGAGTCATTGTGTCATAGGATGTGAATTCATATCATCATTACTCAGACATTACATGAAAATCTGTCTTCAATATAACATTCTGGGAAAGATACATACAAAAGTATCGTCTAAATTGTCTAATGACACTGAAATTTGAGGATCTGCCAATGTAACTCTTTGAGGATCTCGAGGAATTGCTGCTTGAAATAGTTGAGCAGTGTTGTTTTCTTCTTCAGATTTTGTTGCCCAAACTGTGAGAAAAAGTGTTTGACAGGAATTAATTTTTGTCACGTTCCCACGAAGATATGTATGTTTGGAGGTGCATACTTAGCTCATGTTGGGGGGCAATACAGAGGCCAAACTCATTTCATGAAATGCTTGCAACTATGAATAAGTTGTTATTTTCATGGTAAAGGATTGCTTATTACTGGCAACCGTTTCGAACAAAATTTTATTTGTATGTATTAAGCACCCGACATCTCCACTAGAGATTTCAAACTCACGCTTTGATTGATTATTAGAATGTCGTATCGAAAGGCTGTTCAAAATTGCTAAAGTGATGGGTGTTCTTACAAGCATTTGATTTGCCAAAATAGTATGCTGTTGTTATAAGTAGAAGTTATGGTCATTTGGTTGATGGATAGTTCTCGCAAGGAAAAAAAATGACATCCAAAAATGGGTAATGCTAGGCTTCATAAAAGAAATATTATGAAAAGTTTCATGAAACTTTAAGAAATAATCTAGTGTGGTACGTAACAAAACAAGAAAAGCGGCTTCCCTGAATGTCAGAATGTTTTAATTTTGAAGTCTTAGTTTACAAATAGTATAGACTTAGTTTTGTCTTATAGTGCTATTTGATTGATAGGTTATAACGTAGTGTATGTGATTGCATAACTTATAATAAAATACGACAAACTAATCCAAGGGTAGAAAATCTTTATGAAAATTTTCATGATATTTCCTTCATGAAGCGTAGTATTATTCTCAAACAATAGGACAGAAATCAGTTTGAAGTCGATATGTTTGGTTTCTAAGGGATTGAAATAATTGATAGTATGGAGCCGTGTTCAGGACAAATTTATTAATGGTGGATACCTATCCAATGACATGTGGCCTCGTTTGGGAACATGTTTTTTTAGTAACTTTTTAGCTTTTTAACTAAAATATGATGTAAAAAAAACTAGTATGTTTGGGATGATTTTTTGGTTTTTTACGAAAAGATGTGCAAAAAGTAGAGAGAAAAATGAATTTTTGACTTTTTGGTATAAGGTGTTGATTTTTTTGTTTTTTTAGTGACTTTTTAACTTTTAAGCTAAAAAGTGATGTTGCCAAAGGAGGCAAGTTCCCAAGTCCACCTCTAATACATCAAATATTCAGAAAAGCTCCTTAAGTTGGTTCTACTATAGACTGACTGATCTTTGTTAAACTAACTGTATATATTTTTTTTCTTTTTCCCATTTTTTATTTATTTATTTTAATTTTCTATTTTTATGTGTGCCAAAAAAGACATTGTGCAGTTTTTTTTTTTTTATATTTTAAATAATTTATTGTGAAATAATTTCTGAAAGACCAACTACATACCATTTGTCCTTGATGGTCAGTGGTGCATTGCATATTCCTTTATTATATCATTAAATGCCTTTAAGTATCAGAAGGCGGTGTATATAATTTGTTTCCCAAATGTATTTTTAGGAGATTGAATCTTTTCTAAAGCATGACTTATTAGTAGTTGGATCCATGTTTGCTTTTCTCCTTCTTTTGCAGAACACCCTTGGATACAGAATGCAAAGAAAGCTTCAAATGTCCCATTAGGAGATATCGTGAGAACAAGGCTCAAGCAGTTCTCTGTGATGAACAGATTCAAAAAGAAAGCCTTGAGAGTAAGCATCTAATATGAGTTGTGTAGTGCTTGTTTTTGTAATGAGAATGCTGTTCGTACCAACTGATATTTTCAGGGAGCCCATATTTATTAATTCTTAAGGGCACTTATGTAATTAACAAATTAATGATGGTCGTTCTACTTTGAAATTGAAATTGAAATGATGGGCCACATCAGCTTATGGGTTATTTGGTGTGGCTACTTACAACCTGAAAGTTGATTATTAGAAAGTATAAGCTAAAAGTAACCCTTTCCATGCTTCTCTATAATCAACTTTTTTTCAGTTTATTTTAGCTATTTATGCCTCGTAAGTTTTAAGCAGAAACTGTACCAAACACTCTTGCACAGATTTTCAAAATAAAAAAATAAAAAGCTGTAAGCAGCCCCATAAGCTGCACCAAACAGGGCCTATGTAGACTGTAGAGTTTTTGTATAGCCGTCATGTCAAGCATTGCAACCCATGAATATTTGTGCATATGATGTGGGTTTGTTCTGTCAAATGCTGTAGGTAATTGCAGAGCACTTATCAGTTGAAGAGGTTGAAGTGATCAGAGATATGTTTGCATTGATGGACACTGACAACGACGGAAAAGTAACATATGAGGAACTGAGGGCAGGTCTGAAGAAGGTTGGTTCACAATTGGCTGAACCAGAGATGAAGTTGCTGATGGATGTGGTAAATTTCCGTGTCTACGAAGTAACTTCCTGTATTGTGCATGAGTTTTTGCAAAAGTTTGACTTATCATGAAACCCAAGTTTGTTAAAATCATAATAGTTTGAAATAATTGAAACTTAAGATTTTTAGATGGAACATAGTATTTGTTCTAATATCTTCAAATATTAGAAAATGGTTCTATCTCCATCTGCATTTTATTGTCATTATTTATAGGGAAATGCTAATCACTGCCTGTTGGGCAGTGGTTAATGTTGGTATATCTGCAAAAAGTGTATTGAAATATATGAAAAGTGCATAGAAATATATGTATATGGGAATATTGAAATGTGTATTGGAATTCTAACTTTTTCGGCATTATTTGATTCTTAACGAACTCCCAGTGAATGGTTATTAGCAAAGTTTTTAAAGGCGAATGCGTAATGTGAGGCATTTTACTCCTTATGAGGCGAGGTGTAAGTCTTAAGGTGTTGAGGCGTAAGTATTTCAATATTTCAAATTCTGAATTTTTATATTTAGTAAATAATTTAAATATTTTAAAACAATAAATAAATATATCAAAATTAAATATAAAGGTGGAAATACTTTCTACTCGAGGCTCACTGTAGAGAAGGAAGCTTTGCTTTATTGAAAGTGAAATTTGAATTCTTAGCTTTAGTGATCGAGCTTCCCATTGAGCATTAACTTTGTGTTTTTCTTGATTGGTCATTTATTTAATTTTTCCTATAGAATATAGTTGTGAAAGGGGTTCTTTTTTATTTTTTACCTTTTTTATGTTTAAACCATCTACTAGACTAAGTTTAACAAGAACCTAAGACAAACACTTCATATGCATACTCTTCACATGCTTATGCGTAAAAGGCGTATAAGACGCACCTAAGGCACATGTCTCAAACTGTGTACGCAAGCTTTTGGGGAGTAAAGCCTAAAAATCAAAGCCTTGAGGCTTTGCCTTAGCCTCACCTTGAGGCGAGCATCGAGGCGAGTCTCAGTAAAGCTGTTTAAAACTTTGGTTGTTAGCAGGTATCTATGACTTGATTGTAGCTTATCTTTTGGATAACAAATTTTAGCATGTATATGGAAATTCTAGTGCTATGATAAAATTTGGTTACATTAAAAATCTAATGAAATATTGCTATTTGGATGTTTGTTAGGCTGATGTTGATGGGAATGGAGTACTGGATTATGGAGAGTTCGTAGCCGTAACAATCCATCTACAGAGAATGGAGAACGATGCACATTTCCGCAGAGCATTTATGTTTTTTGATAAAGATGGAAGTGGTTATATTGAGCTTGATGAGTTACGAGAAGCCTTAGCAGATGAATCAGGTGAAACTGATGCTGATGTACTAAATGAGATCATGCGAGAGGTTGACACCGACAAGGTATGGCATTTGAGTCTTTCTTACCATCATTTTTGCCTAATCACATGCAAAATCCCTATATTTTCCCCCACTTGGATTGCTATTTGAAAATGCTTTTAAAAAGTTTTATAACGACACAACTTTAGATAATTGTCGGAACTTGGAACCATGCAGGAAAATTTGGACAAGATTGAAGATTTATACTGTTTTAAATTTCAAAATGGCAATTTCTTGATTTCTGGCCTCGTTTGTTAACTCTTCTGTTTTTTTATTTTATTTTTTGAAACTGGAAATGAAAATATATTGCTTATGTTTAAAAAAAATTGGAATTGATTTCAAAATTTTTGGAAACCAAAAAATGTGTTGGCTTGTTTTCAAAACTAGTTTTTATTGTCTTCCCTCACTCTACCATCTCTAGCCATTGCCGACCACCACTGGCTGCCAATAAGCTTCTGTCACCTTCCAGTGACTCAGGACAGCTGTGTGTGACCAGACAGTCACCGCCCAGAACTGGCTCTGGGCTAAGGCGGCTTGTGCCTTACGCCCCAAAAAATTGCCCAAAATAGGGCCTCCAAATTTAGTATTGTCTTATAGCACATTATATATTCAAATTGGCCCAATTTATTTTTGTTGCTTTAGGGCCAGTCTAAAGGGCCCAAAAAAATTTGTTGGGCCCATATGAAAAAAAATATATTTATAAGTGTGGTTTGGCCCAATTGAAATTAAAACATATACAAACAAGTGTTGTTTTGGCCCAATTTTTAATATTTTTTAGTATTTGTAATGATTTCATTCTATTTTAATATATGAAAGTAAATTTTAATTTATAATTTTAATGATTATATATGCAAGTAAACGTAAATAAAAAACTTGTTGATACTTGACATTTTATACATAGATTTTTTATTAAAATATATATATATATATATATAAGAGGGCTCCATTTTCATAGTTTGCCTTTGGCCTCATAAATCTCAAGCTAGCCTTGTCACCGCCCTATAAACTCCGGTAACACTCTGTCCGCCAACTTTGACAAGCACCTCCGGCCACCCTCTACTGGCCATGAGCATGTTTCTTTGTTTTTATTTTCAAAGCATTTGCTTACAGCAAACGAGTTTTTTCTTTTTTTTTTTCTTTTTCAAAACAAGTTTGTCTGACAACGTTATCCCCTCTCCCCTCTCTCCTCTCTCCTCTCCCGTCCTTTCATGATGCTTGGACAAAAAAATTTCAGGATGGGCAAATCAGTTATGATGAGTTTGTTGCAATGATGAAAACTGGAACCGATTGGAGAAAGGCATCTCGCCAGTATTCGAGGGAGAGATTCAAGAGCTTGAGCCTCAATCTGATGAAGGATGGTTCATTGCAGCTCCAGGACGGTCTTACTGGTCAAACTGTCGTGGTTTGAGTTCAAAGGGTCCATTATCTTGTTTCGTCAACACCCACTGATTGTTTCTGCTTTCAAAATTCTCGATAAGTACATGGAAAAAGCTCAGATCTGAGTTTACTGAAAAATGCGTTTTATTAGGAGTTGGAGTCCACAATATTCTTTTAGTTTTGTGGGGTGGGATTTGTTTTTTCTTTTGGCGGCATGAAAGAGTATGTATGGGAGAAAAGCCCATTCTGTTGCAAGGAATTGTGAAAGCCATATGTTACAGTTTTCAAATTTGTGTCAACCTTTGTATATTTGGCCTTTTGTTATTTGTGTTTTGATGATTTAGCCAACATTTGCGCTTTGGAGACTCTATGTAAGAGTTGTTTAGTGAAATTGTGAATTTATGCAAATTTTCATTTGTGTTCTGATGTTGTCAAAATGTTAAGGTTCACATAGAGAGTCAAACAAGACATGAATTAACTAGCCGAGATAGCACCATTCTCTTTTGTCATCTCTACCGCTGCCTGATCTCTTACTTCTCTTTCTTTTGGTACTGCCCTCCTCCATTTCCATTGTTGCCTCCATTGCTATTAGTCGGCTCTCTAGATCTCATTTTCACTAATTATTAAGCCAGTTAAGTTGCTAACTCTATCACCGGATTTTGTTTGTCCATTGAAAGTAACAAATCCTTAGTCGGAGGTTTTAGATCTAGTGCACATTTGGGGCCTTTGGCGCCGCAAGATCAATGCATCACCACCTGCAAAGGTTCTCATGCATATCGGTGCGAGTGTGAGGAGGATGGCAATTTTATGATTGGGTATATAGTAGGAGAAATTATATGCAGATGGGAGTTGGGAAAAAAAAATTACAAACACATGAGGGTACAAGTGTGTCTGTGGTGAGGTGCAAATGAAAGGTTATAAGAGTGCAAGTGTCACTTGCATCCCTCCATGTGTTGATAATTTTTTTTTCTCCAATTTTCACCTGTACGTAGTTCTCCCCATATAATTCTTCCATTGCTGAAGCTGTATTTTTATCTTACTTGGGGTTACTTCTACATTTTTTATTCACATGTGACTCCTCTCAAGCAATTTGGGCCACATGCTAATAATATTAAGGATAAATTATGCTGATCAAAATATATCATGTTTCATAATTATATTAAGTTTTCTTAATATTTTAATTTACATAACATTTTATTCATTTTTTTATCAATATTTTGTTAGTTATATGAATAAAAAAATAATAGTACTAAACAGATTGTCTTGTAAATTTCAACAGATAGAAAAATAGGTTGATTTCAAAAGATAGATAGATAGGTTGATTTTAAGAAATAGATAGATTGATTGATTTCAACATATAATTATTCTTTTAGACAAACTAAATCCTTTTGATTTATTAAAATTAGCATATCACATGTACTATGCACAAGATAAAATAATATATTATTTATTAAAAATATGATAATTATATTTATTTATTTTTTTTATATTTTGTCTCTCTTAAATAAAATTTTATATATAAGTTTAAGAATTTTCTTTCAAATGTTCATTTACTATAATATATAGTATAGATAGATTAAAATTGTTGTATTGACAATTAATAATTAAAATTATACTTTGTTATAAAATAAAATAAAAAATGACATAATTCTAATACTTCACTATTTTAAAATAAAAATATATGAATATTAAAAAATTATAATATTGGTTTTTGAAAGGGAAATAATTAAAGAAATTTTAAAACTTAATAGTAAGAAATAATCATCGTAACATGTAAAACTGCTAAAATCACGGTTAAAGCAATAAATCATTCAAACCAAAAATGGTTTTAACTTAATCAGTTAGGTTAAAAGACCAATTAGCTTACACAAAAATTAATTAATTAAAAATTTTAAATTTTATTTTATTAAGATTTAAACTGTCACTAAATATGGAAAGTTAATTTAAATTTAAAATTGACACAATATAAATTTAAAATTATAATAATCTATCTCATAATTTATAAGTTTTAAATATAAATTTAAAATTATCATAATTATCTCATAATTTTTGTATTAGGGAGCAGTAAGAGTGACATTGAGATTATCAATATATCTATATATTAAAATACTTTTAAGGAGATATAATATAAGAGTTTCAAAATCTCATACAAAATTATTTTTAAAGTCAAAACCTTTATGTGAGATTGTAAAATATAAATTAAATAGAAACTAGTCAATTGAGATTTTTTAATTATTTAAAATTAAGAAAATCAAAAAAAATAGTACGAGATATTGATATCACTAAAAATCTCATTTTGCTTATATAAATACGAGTATAAGATTCACTTTATGTGAGTGAAACAATTTACATTTTGTTAAATTTGATGTATGGAAAAATAGAGAGAATGAAATATGTATTGATGTAGGAGTATAAGATTCACTTTATGTGAGTGAAACAATTTACATTTTCATTCTTTTCTCGGTGTGGGATTATAAAATAATAGTTAAATGAAAGATAGTCAATGAGAATTTTCTTAATTGTTTAAAAGTTAACAATTGTTTGGCGGAAAGTTTATTTCGAATCAAGCAATCTTAGTCGTTTAATATTTAATTAGGTCAATCTTTAATTTATTTCGAATAAAACAAATTTAACCAATATATTTTGATAAAATTGCTAAAATTACAATAAAACCAGCGAATCAGTCAAAACAAAAACGATTCACCCTATCGGTTAGGTCAAAGGACCAACTTATACAAAACTTAATTGATTAAAACTTTTAAATTTTATTTTAATTTTAAAATTTAAACTGTCTTAAACTGAAACATGTACAACACTACAATATTAAATGGGTGCATATGTTTTATATAGTGAAACAACCCTTTTTTTCCCCTTCTTTTCCTGATGTGGGATTGTAAAATAAAGTTAGCAGTTGTTTGGACGGGAACTTCATTTATAATCAAACAATCCCAGTCGTTTAATTTTTAATAAGGTCAATCTTAGTTTATTTCAAATCAAATAAATCTAAATAATATATTTTGATAAAACAGGTAAAACCGTAGTTAAACTAGTGAATCAGTCAAACTGAAAACGATTCAACCAAATCGGCTAAGTTAAAAGACCAACCAATTTACAACAAAATTAATTAATTAAAACATTTAAATTTTATTTTAAAATTTAAACTATCTTGAATTCAAATATGACCAATACTATAATATTAAATGAGAGTATAAAATTCACTTTATATAAGTGAAACAATTCACTTTTTCTTTCTTTTCTCGATGTGGGATTATAATTATTTTAAAGTTAATATTATGAAAGTTTTAAAATCTCATACAATTTTTCTTTTTAAATCAAAACATCTATGTGAGATTGTAAAATAAAAGTTAAATTGAAACTAACAATGAACATTTCGTTAATTGTTTAAAATTAAGAAAATAAAAAAAAAATGGTATTGATCACTAAAAATCTTTTTTTGCTTGTATAAATGGGAGCATAAAATTCACTTTATATAAGTGAAACAATTCAATTTTTCCTTCTTTTTCCGATGTGAGATTGTAAAATAAAAGTTAAATGAAGCTAACTAATAAAATTTTTCTTAATGGTTTAAAATTAAGAAATTTCAATAATTTATATAAATTTGAGTATAAGATTCACTTTATGTAAATGAAACAATTCACTTTTTTCTTCTTTTTTTTCCTGATTTAAGATTGTACAATAAAAGGTAAATGGGAGCTAGCTAATGAGAATTTTCTTAATTGTTTAAAATTAAGAAAATTCAATAATTTTAGAATGAAGGTTTGGAGTTTTTAGAAGGTTTCTCTCTTAAAACCCCCTTTATAAGTTTCAATTTATATGAGTAAAACAACTCATTTTTTCTTTATTTTTTCAATGTGGGATTGTAATTATTTTAAAGTTAAATATTATGAGAGTTTGAAAGTCCCATAGAAAATTATTTTTTAAATAAAAACGTCTATGTGGGATTGTAAAATAAAAATTAAATGAAAGTTAGACAACGAGAATTTTCTTAATTGTTAAAATTAAGAAAATCAAAAAAATGAGTATGAGATGTTGATCATAGAGTTTCTCACTAAAAATCTCATTTTGCTTCTACAAATAGGAGCATAAGATTCACTTTATGTAAGTGAAACAATTCACTTTTTCTTTCTTTTTTCAATGTGAGATTGTAAAATAAAAGGTAAATAGAAGCTAGCCAACGAAAACTTTCTTAATTATTTGAAATTAAGAAAATTCAATAACTTTAGAATAAGGGTTTAAAGCTTTTAGAAAGATTTTTCTAAAAACTCAATTTTCCTTATATAATATATAGATAGATAGTTGTCACGACCCAGACCCAAACCCGTCCCTATAGGTTTAGCGTCGTAACCGGCCAGTAACCCTTGGATTATTGAAGGCTTCTTAACAAAAAAACTTATAATATAGGGGTTGCGGAAGCAATAAATGGAAATATACATAGTCCATTGAGCTGTGAAGACATACATGAGACAGATATTCTTAAACTTCAATAAAGATGTATGTGACGTCAAAAGATACAGTTAATACATGTCACTCCAAGTACTGTACACATAAGCATAAAATTTACCCATAATTAAAACAAAAGAACCAAAGTCTTAAACACAAAAACATAGCCACGGGATATGACATGATTTGGAACCTCCTCAAGAGGCACAAATGGTAGCTGACAAAACGAATCTTAAGCCATCAACTCTGGGCCTAGTCTCGCGCCTGATCACCTACATACATAAATAATATAAATAGGGAGCTGGAGCTCAGTGAATAATAACAAGGTAAATATTTTAATGAATAATGTCCATTATAGCGTTAGAAAATCAGAGTTTTATGCATATACAGATTTCAAATCAGAAACAGATTCATATACTTGATCATATTCATTTTCCGAGTTTATACATTTCACATCATAATACGTGACACATCTATTAGCTTTAACAAATCCGATGACTCATAAAAGACAGCCGTGAAGGCATTTGGATGACCCATAAAGGGACAACCATAAGGCATTCCGATGACTCGTGTGCACAAAGATGTTTCCGATAACCCATAAAGGGACAGCTGTGAAGGCATTCTGATGTTCCATAAAGGGACACATATCATATGATGCTAAGGATGCCATGAATACATTTCAGAAACTTAGACGATCATTCATTCACACAAAACGTAGTATTTTAGAAACTAATCGTTTCTTATCATTAGAAAATAATTAAGTTTAACGTAACTTTACAGAGTTATTACTCACAAATAACAGGTGGCTCCAAATAGACAAATAGGGTAGGCAACTCAGATATCTTGTGGTGCGTGACCTACATAGGTACAAAATGAATTCATATTTACACACCCGAAAACATTTACTTTGTTCTTTCTTATCTT